ATGTCTTGCCTGGAAAAATCCACTCAATTTGAGGTAGCATGGCCTGCTGGTTAGCAGCTCAGTCTCTAAACGCAAACTTCCAGATCTACCACTTAAGAGCCATATAACCTTGTGCAACTTAATTTTTTTTTTAATTTGCCACAGAGTGGTATGGTAAAGTGCTAGACTCCCACATGGTCAACTGCAGTGCATGCCCCAGACCCAGTGACTTGAAATTCACTCTGGGTACGTGAGTGTAAGTGCCCAACATCCTGAGAGGAGAAGGGATTGAGATGTGACCATCCTCCCAGGGGATGATTTCTCACTTTTCCTGTCTCTGTTTCTCTGTGTCTCTCTCCAGCAAGTGCATGCACCCTATGGCAAAAACATAAAAAAATAAAAAAATACCAAAGAAAAAAACAAGCCCTTAAGGGCCAGCAGTGGCATTGAAGTTAAAGCAACTGGATCCCACATGACCAACTTCATGGTTTGAGTCATGGACCCAATGGTTAGAATATCTTGCTGGCAGGACCAGCAGATGGTGTAATGATTACATCACTAGACTCCCAGGTAGTTGACCATGATTTGAGTCCCAAACTTGGCAGCTTAACACTCACACCAGGCATGTGTGCATTTATGTCCAAAATCCCGAGAGAATGGAAGAGAAGTGATTGTGGCATGGTCATCCTCCCAGGGGGTGATTTCTTACTTTCCATCTCTCTGTCTCTCTGGTGAGCATGCATGCTTTATAGCAAAAATCATACTCTAAAAAGAAAGAAAGAAAGAAAGAAAGAAAGAAAGACAATCTTGCTGGGTGCCTTGTGTGTGCATGCCCAAAATCCCAAGAGGAGAATGGAGAAGGGATTGCAGCATGGCCAAAAATAGGATTTCTCCCTTTTCCCTCTCTCTCTGTCATTCTCTCAGGTGAGTGCATACATCATATAGCGAACTAAAAATAAATAAATACCAGGGAACACAGGCACTTGCCAGAGATAGAAAAAGAGGGAGGAAAATTAAGAATGCACTCTAAATGGGGAATGTGCACATAACAATCTCTTTTCCTTTTGTCCCTCCTATCAGGATTTTTGCATACATGCACGTGTTCCCAGTGTGTTTTCGGGTTTTTTTTTGAGAGGTTTTTGCTATAGGGCGCGTGCACTCGTCAGAAAGACAGAGTGAGACATAGAAACAGAAAGCAAGAAATCACCCCCCAGGGGGGATGGTCACGCCACAATCCCTTCTCCTCCATTCTCCTCTCGGGATCTTGGGCACACACGCACACACGCCCGGTGTGTTTTAAGCCACCTGGTCTGGGACACAAACCACGGTCGACTACGTGTGAGTCCAGCGACATAGCCATTACGCTAACTGCTGGTTCCCCCCAGTGTGTTTTTCAAGTGGCCAAGACTGGGACTCAAATGAACTGCACAGTCAACCGTGTGGGATTAAGCCACCTAACCACCATGCCACAAGCTAACCCATCACATTGTTTTTATTATTTTAGCTTTGTAGTAAGTTTTGAAATTAGGAAGTATGAGTCTTCCAACTTTATTCTTCTTCAAGATTGTTCTGGCTGTTATGGATCCCTTGAGAGTGCATATGACTTTTTGAATGGGCTTTTCTATTGTTGAAGAACTCATCTTGGGACCAGCAGTTAGGGTAATGTCTATGTCGCTGAACCCCCATGTAGGCCCCCGCCCGGGGGGTTAAAAAAAAAAAAAAAAAAAAAAAAAAACTTCTCCAAAAAAAAAAAAAATAGAAATCATCTTTATGATTTTGATAGAAATCTTTCTAATTCTGTAGATGGATTTCAGTAGTACTGACATTTTAACAATAATAAATGTTCTAATTCATAAGCACAAATTTCTCTCACTTGTTTAATTCTGCAGTTTTTTTTATTTTCAGTGTGCAGTCTTTCACCTTTAAAAAATTTCAACAGCGTATGTGCTCACCACAGGGAGAGAGAGTGAGAAAGCAGGAAAGCACCCCTCATGGGAAATGGTCCCAAAACAATTTTGGGTATGCACACACATACGCCTGATGTGCTATTATTTTTTTTTAAAAAAGAAACTTATTTTTTTATTTTTAAAATTAATTAATTAATTAACATTCATTCACTAAGCATCATCACAGCATACAAACTGTGATTTCCCATCCAAAATAAACTTCATGGTGGCTTAATCATACATGTTATCATCAATAATTTTCCATTTCTATTTTCATATGAATGTATACACACACTTACTTGGTTAGATTTATCCCTAAGTATCTTATACTTTTTGTGGCTATGGTAAATGGAATAACTGTTTTCAGTTCTGTCTCAGTCTGCCTGTTTCTCATATATAGAAATGCTATTCATTTCTGGATATTAATTTTGTATCCTGCAACTTGACTGTATTCATGTATTACTTCCAGAAATTTTTTTCTTGGAAACCATTTGATCTTCTATGTATACAATCATGTCATCTGCAAATAGAGTTTCACCTCTTCTTTTTCTATTTGAATTTCTTTTATCTTTTCCTCTTTTCTGATTGCATTGGCCAGGATTTCCAGTACTATATTCAAAAGGAGTGGAGAAAGTAGGCATCTTTTTCTTGTACCCGTTTTTAGTAGAGAAGCTTTATACTTTTCTCCATTTAGGGTGATGTTCGCTATGGGTTTTTCATAGATTGCTTTTATTGTGTTGAGAAATGACACTCCTATGCAGATTTTGCTGAGTGTCTTAATCATGAAGGGATGTTTTATCTTATCAAATGCTTTCTCTGCATCGATTGAAATGATTATATAATTTTTATCTTTCTTTCTGTTAATATGATGTATTATATTTATGGTCTTGTGTATGTTGAACCACCCTTGCAACCCTGGAATAAATTTTACCTGGTCGTGATGAATAATCTTTGTTATATGTTGTTAGATATAATTTGCAAGTATCTCATTGAGAATTATTGCATCTATATTCATCAGAGATATAGACCTGTAGTTTTTCCTTTTTGTTGTATCCTAATCCATTTTGGGAATGAGGATAATGGAGACTTCATAAAATGATTTTTGAATGTTTTCTTCCTTTTGGTGCTTTAGAAATAATTTGAGTAGAATGGGGGTTA